GCAAAGAAATCACAGCAAACAAGAAATTCTCTTTGGAAGATAAGGGCAAAGTGCACAAGCTTGTGGCTTCAGCTGTGACAAAAGAAGATGAGGGGACATACACATGTAAAATTGGAGATGACACTCTCACTTTTGATTTAAAAGTCTCAGGTAAATTGATGGTCAAAATATGGCATGAAGTTGTTTTATGTTTTCCAGGCTTGGCTCATTATAACTGTTACTTCCTAGATTTGCACTTCCTTGGGCATCATTGCATGGTAATGTTTCAGAGGTTCTAACCCTCTCCAAATCCACAATACAGGTAGCTCCAGGTTTGACTGGCCTTTCTTACTATAGTGGAGCCATTCAAAATTAAAGGATCTTTAATTAGTAAGGAAGAGTTTCCTTGGAGATTTTTTTTCTCAGATGAAGACAAGTATGAAGGGTCAGTTAGCCTTGTGTAACTCTGTGCAGAATTGAGACTTGGGTGCCTTCGCTTACCTCGAAGAAATGACAGTGATAACTGTATCTCCTCTATCTGATTTGCAAGGCCAGAAACATTAAATAGACATTTGTTCCTGAAGGATAATCTGGAATCTTTGCGAAAATCTCTGCAAATGCTTTTTAAAAATGAGTATTAATGAGTGAAAGGATGTCCATTTTTGTTTCTCAGTGATGCTAGCCATAAGAAAATCACATTGAGCCTCTTGAACTGGAAAAATGTTGTGCTATATTAAAACGGGCTGTTCAATAATGATGGATATGATTAATGTCATATGATTATATGATAAGACTTAAGACTTTTTTTAAAAGAGCCTGCAGATCAGACAGGCATTAGTTGGATATAACCTGCATTAACAAGGCCTTTACTCCTGACAGCTGCTCCCGTGAGATTTACCAACAAGAGCAGAGACACAGAAAAGGTCTCTGCTCGACTGCGTGAGGAGGCCAAGCTTCAGGCYGAGCTTTCYGATGCGGATGCTGCTGTGAAATGGCTGAAGGATGGGAAAGAGCTCAAGGCCGGCGACAAATACGAGCATCAAAMTGTGGGCAAACGGCGCACCTTGAGAATTCACAACATTGCGACCGAGGATGCTGGAGTTTATGAGTGTGTCTGYGAAGGRGATAAAATGGTCTATCAGCTTTCAGTGAAAGGTATGTGGCTGTCTGGACTGCTTGGCTTTACAGGCCTGTTCCTGTCCTCAGCAAGCAGTTTTCAGAGCCCTTCCARGGCACCTCAGTGAAGCAGAGCTGCRTTTTCACTCACATTGAAGKGTGRAACAYTGTGAAGAACTTGACATTCCTTCATGTGCTGGAAGTGTGGATAGTGAAATCATGCTTTTGTATTGAGGAAATGCAGCTTTGTAAGCAGGACATGACACWCACGATCCTCTGCCTGCCCTGTATTTGCTACGTGCTATTGAAGAAGTCACTTACAAGCTACTTCAGCTCTAGTTAATCAGAGAATGGTTAAGGTCGGAAGGGACCTTTAGAGATCATCTAGTCCAATCCCCCTACTCCAGCAGGGACACGTTGAGCACGGGCTGGCATCCAGGCAGGTTTGGGAGATATCCAAAGGAGACTCCAYAACCTGCCTGGGCAGCCTGTTCCAAGACTCTGTCATTCTCACTGGAAAGAAGTTCTTCYTCACATGGAGAGCTGTGTTTCTCCATATTTCTCCATGAAACACAGAGTTTCCTGTGTTTCGATTTGTACACATTWCCCCCTGTCCTGTCATTGGGACTACTGAGAAGAGTTTCACCCTGCATTCTCCCCTCAGGTACTTACAGATATTGATCAGATCTCTTCTCATTCTTCTCTGTCCTAAATGGCCCCAGCACACTTAGTCTTCCTTGTCGCTCTAAGCTGGACCTTCTCTAGAAATTAAAGCTGACGGACYAGGGTCATGTTGGACTTGAAATTTTCTTTGATTTTTTTTKTTTGTTTGTTTGTTTACTTCTGTCRGTGTTCTGTGTTTTCTAGAGGATATTGAGGATCTTTTCCTTTTTGCAATGTAATCAAAGGGAAAATGCTATGTAAAACAGCAAAATGCCATTAACTTTTAAAGCTTCTTTTTGTTGAATTAGGGTCAATGAAATTGCACACCTTCTCCATAGTACAGCTATGTCCATATTTTGTTTCAGCACTTGCAACTTTCATAAACAAAGAGAAAACTGGAGGAATTATCAAAGCTGTTCCTGGAAAAAAGGCTGAATTTGTTTCTGAGACCTCTGAAGACAACGTGATGGTCAAGTGGTACAAAGATGGCAAAGAAATCACAGCAAACAAGAAATTCTCTTTGGAAGATAAGGGCAAAGTGCACAAGCTTGTGGCTTCGGCTGTGACAAAAGAAGATGAAGGGACATACACGTGTAAAATTGGAGATGACACTCTCACTTTTGATTTAAAAGTCTCAGGTAAATTGATGGTCAAAATATGGAATCAAGCTGTAGTAGACTTTGCAGGCTTGTCTTATTCTGTCTGTTACTTCTTAGATTAGCAGTTTCTTGGTCCAACATTGCGTAGTACTATTTCAGAGATTATAGCACTACTCAAATCCCCAATACAGGCAGATAATATAATTGTGGTGTTATGTATTAAGATCAGTTCAAGGATTATTTTGACTCAAAATGTCTATCTTGTTTTATAGTTTTGGGTGCCTTATCTTGCCCATATTATTTCAGTTTAGCAATTGCTCCACTACTTAGGCTGTCTTTGAGCCTCCTGAGGTACCAAGGTCTGTGTGTCCAAGTCCTGTGTCCTCTTCTACAACTCAACTTCTGATGTGGACAGTCAAGCACCTCCTGTTTTCTCAAAGGACACTGTGATCTCAGACATCTACATACACTCCCTTACGTACAGAAAGTGAAGCCATTAATTGATGACCCATTTTCATCAGCATAAAACATCTATCAGGTCAAGCCTCAAAGGAAAATGCTTGCCGCTGATGTATTCCAGTCCAGGATGGAGCTGGAGTACAAGACGACACAGAAAATAGTCTTTGGAATGCAATACCTTTGAAATTCAGCTGATTGAATTTGCATAATCTGAGGGGAATCTCTCTTGTATAAGTAGTTTTTTGGTTTATATCTTAAGCCTAATTTTTAAACAAGTCTTAAGACACATATTGAAACACCAGTGAAGCTTACGGTGTATCTACAGATTGCAATGCAATACAAGAGACGTAACAACTGTCATACAAAGCTATGCACTTGTCACCTGTAGCAGTATGTCCATATTACTATGATGTTTTCCATAGACCAAACAGAAGCTTAAGAGGGCTGATTGATCTCTAGCAGCGCACTGGACTTGAAGGATTGCTAGAGAGATTACTGAGCTAGAGGAATTGCTTCCATTTTAGCACTGATTGCTCCAGTATTTTCTTTGAATCATATCTCCCATTCTGTTTGGAGAATCCAATATTTCCAAATGTCACTTTGGGGGTGAATCATAGTCTCTGACTTCACCTACTGGAAGACAGGTCTAGAATAGTCAGCTAGGCTCCATTTGAACTGGTTGATCCTGAGTGAAAGGTACCCCTAGAGGACTATTTATGTGATCTGATGAGAGCTCTCATCAAGATATATATATATCCTGGATAGATATTAGGACAGATTTTTTTTTTCTACACGTGACGTGTGAAGGCATTCCCAGAAAATCTATTTATATATATAGAGAGAGATTTTCTGGGAATGCCTTCACACGTCACATGTAGAAAGAATTTTCATGAAACAGGATGCCAACCTTTTGATGTCTGAATGTAGGTTTGATGAATCCCACCTATAGCTCCCATTACAAAACATTACATGCTTCAGATAAAAAAATCAATAATATCCGTGAATCCCTATGAACTTCTTGCTTCAACTACAGCCTTAACCGCACTAGTTAGTATAAATTCCACCTTGTTTTATATTTCAGCACAAAAAGGTTTTGGAGTGCTAATAAGCAGCACTGCAGAATCAAGGAATGAAATTAGGACAGGGAAGTAATCTGCCTTTTATGGTTATTCCACTAGTCTTGAACTGCAGGACTCTGGAGAGAATACCTGCTCGCTAATTATTTAAAATAGATTGCTCCTAATTATTACATTTTTAATAAAATATTTGTTCCTTGACACCACATGCCTGGCATGGGTGCAGTGTACTAATTGTCTTTGAGAAACTTAATGACTGAAAACAAAAGTTGCTGCAAAAAGAATTGCAATACTGAGCTAAAGCTGTTCCTAAGCTCGAGGGAGGGGATCCTCTCCCTCTACTCAGCCCTGGTTAGGCCATATCTGGAGTGCTAAGTCCATGGGAGGGCTTCTAAGATGATGGGGAGACTGGAGCATCTCTCCTGTGAGGAGAGGCTCAGAGAGCTGGGCCTGTTCAGCCTGGAGAAGAGAATTCTGAGGGGAAATCTCATCGGTATATATAAATATCTTAAGAAAGATTTCAAAAGGATGGGACCAGAGAGGTTGTGGAGTCTCCTACTTTGGAGGTATTCAAAACCTGCCTGATTCCCGTGCAGGTGGCAGGAAATGACTGCACATTAGTTAGGTGGATTTAGGTTATGACTATAGATCCACATCTGTCTAGAAGCTGGTTTTTTTTTCTCATATAAGGCTAGTATTGATTTCACAGCGCACACCTAGTAGGTCAATAGCTTATTAAGGAGACACGATCAGGATGTCAGTAAGTCCACTTGCAGTGCTTAGTGACTTCTTTCAGAAGAATGAAATTAAAAGTGTGAACATTTTCCAATTCAATATATTTGGCCACAACACGTTGAGTGTTCTTTGTATTAAATTACTGGTCATGGAAAGAGTCTGAATACTGAATACAGAGAGGTTTATCATTATTAATAAAGTATTCTCTGTATGAGACACACACACCTGTATATATATATATATATATATACACACACACACATATATTAGAATAGTTTATTTATATGTATACATATGCTAATGCTCCCAAACTGATTCTGAGTTTGAACTTCTGTACCTCAGGTGATTTTCTTTTAAAGACTGAAGGCAGCTTTTTCAACTAGATTCATCCATACCCAGCTCCCAAACAAGAGACTCACAGCTACTACCTCTGTGGCTGACTTAAACCTTGGAACCATGTGTTCCTTAGTACAGAAATTTGGAGGGGATTTTTTCCTGGCTGCTTTTTTTATAAAATTACTTATCAAGTAGTTATAGTAATTGTAGTTACCACAGTTGCAGTTGCCATAGTCACAGTTACTGTAGATATGTTTATCTGCAAACAGATAAACATATCCACATATCTACCTTCTTGATGTCATTGCCATGAGTGTGGTTGGCACCAGTGTTGATGCGCCATGCGTTTCTTCCTCTGGAGCTCCAAGCCAAAACGCTGGTGTGGGTAGCACAGGAGTAAAGTGGTTATGTACATAACGTGCCAGGCTGAGCAAGCCTGGCTCAAAGCAGTTGCTTTTCTGCTTTGCTTTTTCTTTCTGCTCTCTTCTTTTTCGCTGATGACCCTGTTAGGTTTCAAACAAGCCCTGAGTGGCTGTAGAAATAACAGCTAATGCTCATGAAGACCTTGAGCTACTGTGTGATTTGTCAGATGGAAGCATATGGAAAAGGAATCAAATGCAGATCAAGCAGGACCATAAATTAGTTGTCACCTCTGGGGTATCAGAATGCAAGTTCATGGTCATGAATAGGACTTGGGACCTATAGCTGTGATGTGCAGAATAATCTTCTTTGTCAAAGTCATAGGTGAAAAAAGGTTAGAGATAACAAAGATAAAGGACTGCTCCATTTTGTGTGGCATCTTGCATTCAGGGGGTCATCTCACAGCCACTCTGGGGTAAATATTTTAGCTGTAGAACTTGATTTTCCACCAAGTGTCATACCATCATATGTATATATTTACATATATATGTATACATATAATGCCATTGACAATTGCAACTCAAACAAATAGTAGGCAAGGAGGATAACATCTGCAGTGCTCATAATCGCCTGCTGTGCTGTCAGCAGCACTCCTACAGAATTACCATGAAAGGCCATAGAAGAGAGAGAGGTAGATAAAAAGGGAAGGAGGGGAGATTGGAGAACTTTGGATGGTGAAAGACTGAATTGGAGAGACTCAGATAAGTGGAGACACGGGACAACTGGGCTATCAATGAAGATTTTTGTTTTTACATAAATTAGAATCTGATGCTGCACTTAGAAGAAAGAAATTGAATCTAGGAAATAGGTTGGATCTGGTACATAGATTGTAGGAGAATACTTGAGGTTGTGAACACACTGAAACAGGAGAGAAGCTTTTCATTTGCACCAGTGCTGGATGTACTCTCTTATGGTGTCATTTCTTCTTAGACTATAAGAATTTCATATTCACTTTTTTCCTGGTCAAAGCATGGGATAAGATATTACCTTCTGTATAGCTTCTCACAAATTCACCAGGCTTGATGCATTCTAAATGTTTGGCTGTGGCTGGGACCCACAGAGATGCAGCAGAGATGCAGATAGCCTGGACTTTATTGTGTCTGTACTGAGAAGGTTTGGGATTTCATAGCAGATTATGGTCCTCAAAATCCAATGGCTACACTAAATGTACGCATGGTCTGTTCAATCCAAAGCTGATTAGTGTTCATTGCCAGTGCTGCTTTCGTAATGACATGTAATGGCATATCAAAAAAAAAAAAAAAAATCTTGTATTTTTGTTTTTCTATTTAAGCAACTTGCTTTGGAGCTGAAAGATTTAGACTTTTCATTCTGACCCCACTGTACAGTTTCCTTTCGTCTCAGGATGTTTTGCAAGATGATAGAGGTCCCAAAAACATTATCTTAGGCTCCAGATGGCCATGGCATGTCTGAGTGATCACTTTTTAATTGGCTGATAAGAAGGACTTCTTGTTTGCTTGCTTTATTCAAAGCAGTAATACCGTGCCACCTGTGTTTCTGGGCCAGATGCTTGCCTATAAACTTTACAGTTCTCGTCTCAAATTCTGATGGAGCAGGGGATCTATTTTCTCTTCTGCTTTCCTATAGCACCAAGCACCCTGGTTCCCTAATCCTGGCAGAGCTCTGGCATTTTATCGGCTATGCAAAGGAGCAGCTGCACTGGGAATCTACTGCCCTTGCAGCTTCCCCGCCTGCTGGAGACCCAGAGTCCTTGCAGGGCATAGCTTGCGTTCTGTTCTCCTCTAAAGGTTGCAGTCTTTACTGCTCTCTTGGTGCCTTGAGGCATCCTGCACCTCCACCTTCCATGAGCAATTGCTCCCATAGCTTCACAGCTCCCCAAAGCATCTACTAAAAAGCACTAACTATGAGGTGTCCATGCGCAGGCTGCATGTTGGGGGCATTCAGCTGCTTCCTCCCGAGTTATGCAGGCTCTGGCCCTGGGAATTAGTCATGCTTTTGGCTCTGGGAACTGATGGTTTCGATGGATGGATAGCCATGCGTTTAGATCTTTGAGACACCATTCTGAGAAAATGCAAAATGGGCATTAGTAGAAAGAATACAGATAAGCTGCAAGAGAGTGAGGTCCCTGTCTCTGCTGCTGGTGCCAATTGTCCTTTAGTCCCTCCATGAGGTGCAGAAAAATGCAGGATTGTGAGATTTGAATTCCTCTACGAGGGCTATTCTTAGCTGCTTGTCTCAGAAACCAAGTGTTTCCAGTTCTCTTCCAGACTGGGTGACTTCATGGCTGCACGGGGTCAGGTAGGACCTTCCCCCTCTGCTGCAAGTGGAAGTGCTCGTCTAGCTACAGTTGCTGCCCTTCTCATGTGTGCGGCTGTAACACGACGTGCAAGTCCCACAGCTCATTGGAAAACGATCTAGTGTGAAAGTTGAGAGGGATTATGAGTACTCTTGGAGTGGCTGGCTCTTTCATGCAGAAATCCTCCTCTCACTAGGTTATCCTAAAGTGCTGTGGCTTGCTGAGTCTTAATTTATCCTGTCACCATTGCGCTCAGAGAGCTTTTTGGAGCTCCTGTGTTCCCCTGGTAGCACAAAACCTCCTCTGTTTAAGGACAGCTTGAAGGTTGGATGCTCAGTATTGTGTGCTGGGGTAGCTACTGGCCCTTTGATTCAGTGTAAAGAGGGAATGCTCCACACTTTGTAGCATGAACAAAATATGCAGCTGGAAGAACTGCTTCTGCAAGCTCCTTAACTCAGTCTTGATTGCATGCAGGGAATTGGTTTAAAAATCCTCATTTGAAGTGGGCCAAAGCTCCAGAGCTTGAAATTCTTTATCCTCAGTTTTAGCAAAACTCTGCTCCCAGTTAAGATTTTGAAATGTGACCTGCAGTGAATGCTTGCTTAACTTTAAAATAGATTCTGAGGCAAACTATTGATCAGACATCTGAAGTCTATTGTTGTTGTCTTTGAGATCAGTTTGAATCCTGCAGAATTGCTAGTGACAGGTCAGATGATTAAAAGATTTGGTTGCATTTTCTCTTGTTATAAAAATGTTTAATACTAAAGTGTGAAAATGCAGAGCATAAGCAAGTCTATCTAGTATGTTCCACCATGCTAATCTGTCATTTTAAATGCAGGCCTCATTTATAAAGACTAATTTGAAACTCATCTGGTTGCCATTCATGTCCATGGTCCAATTTGTAGACTGAGGCTGAAAAGTTACTATTTTTGCAGACTGTTTTGAATGTAAACCATAGTGCGTGCTTAAGGTGTTTTAGATTTAGTCTGAATGCTGCTTGAATTTGCAGCCCCCATCCATGGAGGTGCAGTATTGTCAGTAAGCCCATGGATGAGATCCCGAGGTTACATGTGCAGCCGTCACAGAATCACAGAATGTTTAAGGTTGGAAGGGACCTCTAGAGATCATCTAGTCCAACCTTCCTGCTCAAGCAGGGACACCTAGAGCAAGTCAAGCAGGGACACCTAGAGCCATGGTCAACAGCGTAAGATCTTGACCTCAACTTACTTGCTGTTTTCTGTGTTTGCACGGCCCCATCTTTTCTGTGAGTGGATAGACGTGTCACTCTTCCCAAGAGTGCCCACCTCCCCATTGGGCCTGCAGAGACTGACCCTACACAACATCTGCAAAAAAGCTGGCGTAGGCTCCGAAAGACAAGGCACCGTAATTGTGCTGGCAGCATGCCTGATGTCCAAGTGAGCAGCAGCCGGGAACTGTGCTCTTTATAAGCAGTAATTTCCTGCCCAATGCTTCCACAAGCATTTTCGTAACTCTCGTAAATAATTTTCATAACTTTTGTAAATAAACAGTTAATTTATTTAAACCATAACCTACTAGACAATCTCCTGTTGAAGATCACATGCAACAGGAACTTGGAGACAGAGCTTTGAAGTATCATAAGTTTCTTAAAATCTACAACCAGCTTCACCAAAATGGTTTAGAAACATGCCTAATCTTGCATGAACTCTGATCCAATGTGGGAATGAAACTTCAAAGTTATTCTTTTATACAATTCTGATGGCCCTGGTGCAACTTTTCCTTCTTTCCAATCTTGCAGGTGATGTGTTTGAAAGTGGAGTGAAGAATGAGGTGAAGGCGGTCCTAAAAGAGAACGCCTTGCTGAGTTGCAGTGTGATCCAGGAGAAGACTGAGGTGAAGTGGTACAAGGAGGGGAAGCCGATAACCTCCAGCAAGAAGTTCAAGGTGGAGCAGGAGGGCAAAGCACGGCGGCTCGTGGTGCATCAAGTGGAAAAGACAGACGCTGGCAAATACACCTGCGAGGCTGACGATCAGAGAGTGCTCTTCAATTTGGTTGTCACAGGTGAGAGAAAACCTTCCTATTTCTGAAATAATTAGCAAACTGAATGCTTTTCCATAATTAATTTTGGAGGCAAAATCATTGGGGTGTCCCAGCTCTGATAGTAAATTGGGGTGAGATGTGCTGGGATTTTCTCATAAAAATAGGTAATGACAAATTATGTATAAATGGAGATAATAACATGGTCTTGAACAACTAAGTCCTGGTCTAGTTCCATAAGGAGTGTATGAAATGACCTGGTGCCAAGCCTGTGAGAAAGTAGGGGCATCAGAGACATCTGCCTGGAGCAAAAGAAATCAAAGTTATGGGGCTCTGGCATAGCAGGAGGCAGTTTCTGCCATGGAGAATCCATATTCTTTATTCAACGTAAAACAAAAGTAATCTTGTCTTGGCTGGGGCCTGCCATATAGTGCTACTATGAGCCATCCAGTGACCTAGCTTGCTGAAATATATATTATTAATACTTGTGTGATTAATCACAAAGCAAATAAAAGATTATTTTTTAAAAAATCACAATTCACATGTCCTTCCAATGGATGTGTATCATCAAGTGGTAGAAGTGGTTTCTAGTATTCCCTGTATTCTGTGGCAGGGAGTTTAGGAGACTTCAGCTCGAGGATTCACTTTGAACTAACCTCTCTTTTCAGAGCCAGAAATCGTGTTTACAAACAAGGACAGTGTGCACAAGGAGGTGCAGGCAGCCCCCAAAAGGGACGTCATGCTGAGCTGCGAGGTGGCCCAGGGGACCACCGAGGTGAAATGGTACAAAGAGGGCAAGCTGATCACCTCCAGCAAGAAGTTCAAGGTGGAGTCGGAGGGCAAATCGCGGCGGCTGGTGTTGAGTAAGGTGGAAGAGAAAGATGCTGGCGAGTACACCTGTGAGGCTGCGGGCCAGAAACTGACCTTCAGGATTAACATCACAGGTAAGAGTGACACCCCTTAAAATTTGGATGGCAGATAATTGTGGTGCCATATCACACAACGACCCAGATGCAAAAGGGTGGACTCTTTGTAAACTTTAACCGATTTGCTGGTAGGTCTAATATATAGCAAATGTATTTTTTAACATGTTACAAAGGCATATCATATTCTTAAATAGTCTATATTATAATAATTGCAGAAATTAGTATAATAGAAATAATGGTCAGCCTGTTGTTCAGGTCCTTCTCATTCCTGGGTTTCCAAAGGGCGATTCTTGTGCCTTGAACCTCTTGGCAAAGACAAGAGCCTGTGATGCAACAGGATCGTGCCTTTTGCATGTAGTGTTACAGGATGAGCAACTTTTGCTCCCCTCCAGGCAGCACGTTGCCCCATTTGCAGTGCAGTCACAATCACAGGAGAGACTCTGACACTCATCGCGTAAAACTGCATAGGACTGAGTGGTGGAACCATGAGTAAAGTAGACTATCTGTAAGTTACATGCAAGGAACAAAGGATTGGAGGAATCAATTAAGAACCATCGATACAAGGACTACAGACCTTTTCAGAATTTTCAGAAGAAATTTGGAAAGATGCTGTTGAAGAGGTACTCAGCCAGGCTGTTAGCAGCCACAAGGCATTTCTGAGCACAGTGCTGCACTAGCAGTGAGGAACCTGGAACTAGTTGAACTGTGAGAGAAATTGCTGAGGCTCGATAAGTGGTAATCATTTTTTTTTTTTTAATGTAGCTCTTAAAAAGAAATAGGGGGTAGAGGAATTTGCCATATGCAGGAAAGAGATCTGTGGAAGTTTCCGAGTTTGACCTTATTTGCATGTTTGCAATCGTGGGAGTGTTATCAAGGACCCTTTGGTCTTTTGCATTCCTGGAATTTTACTTCCCTAATTTCCATGTTGCAGTTTGTGCACACAGAGGGGTAGATAGTGCCCAGTGAAGATACTTGTTTTTAACATCAATGGTAACCTTGACGTTTTCTGGGTGTCTGCACACAGGTATGTAAGATGACTTCATTTTAATCTCTCTGTTGATATTTGCTCCTTTTTCTGCACATAGAACCAAAACCTGTATTTATAAACCTGGAGAAGGTTGAGAAAGAGGTACATGCTGTGCTCAATGAAAATGCTACCCTCAGCTGTGACGTAGCAGAGGATATAACTGATGTGAAGTGGTACAAGGATGGAAAAGTGCTTGCTTCCTCTAAAAAATTTACAACAGAGTCTCAGGGTAAAACGCAATACCTGCATATAGAGCATCTGGATAAGAAAGATGCTGGAGAATACACCTGTGAGGCTGCGGGTGAGAAGCTGACCTTCAAGATTGTACCTACTGGTGAGTTTTTGCTTCGGGGATCTATATTGTTTTGATGGGTGGCTAAGGTGAACAGTGTTTGGATGAAGATTTTGGGGCTAAATCAGTGCTATACGGTTTTGTTTGTCATCTCGTGTTTGGATGAAGATTTTGGGGCTAAATCAGTGCTATACGGTTTTGTTTGTCATCTCCTTCACACACCTGTTCATAAAACCTTTTCCAGTGAGGGTAGCTGAAAATGAACTGTAAGTGGGAGATTTTAAGACATTGAAATAGAGCTGTGGGGAAAAGGCCACTAAGGAAAACTGGATGGATGCTGTGCATGTCCCAGAACTGCCAGATTTGGGGCAAAGCGTTGTACATGGTGGAGGAGAATGGAAATAAGGCAAACAGATAAGAAAAGCGGATGTAAATTCAGGAATATCACATTAATAATTCTTCTTAGTTAGATCTAGAAAAGATCATAGATCATAAAAATGAGAGAAGAAAGAATTATATAGGTAATTTTGCCAGTAAGAAACAAGCATTTTATAAGTGGCAGATAAAATGCAAATCTGCATTTTATTTTCTTTGCTCCTCTTTCTTCTGACACCTTAATATATGAAACGTGAGCCAGAGACAGGAGAAGTGGTGACCTCTTACTGTGATGACTTACTGTAAATGATATATTGATCCATTTGATAAAATCATTGAATCTGCCTGCTCTTTGGAGGTGTTCATACCACATCTCAAAGACATGCTCCTAAGTGTTTTCTTCCTTTCTATCAGCTCCCAGAGTGGTGCAGTTTGTCACAAGTCTCAACAACACAGTCTCTGAAGAAGGAAAGGAGGCTGTGTTCAAGTGTACTGTCTCTCCCAGTGATGCTGTGGTTACGTGGCACAGGAACGGTGTCAAAATTGAGGCCAGCCAGAAGTATGTGATCTTGCAGAAGGATGCCAACCACAGCCTCACCATCACTGATCTGACGATGGAAGATGCGGCTGAAATCTCTGCCATAGCTGAGGGTGTAGAAACCAGTGCCAAGCTCAGGGTCCGAGGTAAGAGACAAAATCATGTCCCTTTTGACAAGCTGTCGCTGATGCTATAGTCTCTGCTTTATATGGCCTCCCCTTGACAGATTATGTGAGTAGCAGGGGGTTGCTGCCTTCAGTTTATCAAATAAAGGTGCCCAGAATTCACGGCCACTGTTTTAATTTCCACCAGCAGCACATTTTCAGGATACTCCAAATTTTGGCTAATATCTTCCTCTTTTGGCAGAGGCCCCAATCTCATTCAAGAAGAAACTGGAGCCCAAAACAGTTGAAGAAAGAGAAACGGTGGCCCTGGAGGTCGAACTGACCAAACCTGCCAAAGTGAAGTGGATGAGGAACAAAATTGAGTTGAAGCCCAGTGAAAAAATAGAGATCAAAGATGAGGGAACAAAGCATATCCTCACGATAAAGAACATCTCCTTTGCAGAAAGGGGCTTCTACTGCTGCGAGAGTCCTGATGACAAGACTCAAGCCAAGATCAATGTGGAAAGTAAGTTGAATGGTCTTGCAGTTCCCTGGATAGCATACTTAGGTTAACTAATTATATCAGAAATTGTACTGAGAACACGGGTATGAAATTTCAGGTCTCTTGGCATGAAATACTGTCTATTAAATCTGCTAAAAGTTCCATCATGTCCCAATTGTCTGTTGCTTTATAAAAGAAAGATCTTTGCAAAAATATTTTTTTTCAGTCCTACATACATTACAAGCTCATGCTGTGCCTAGAAGGTAACTTATTGAGTTAGGAATTGCTATGCTGTTTATTTAGTTAATGTTCTTGAAAATCACTTTCCCTTCCTCTCCAGAATAATTGCGATTTTGTCTCAGTCCATTCACTATTTGAAAGGTTGGAATACCTGTTAATTTAGATTAACTTAACTTGAGCTTAGATTGCAACAAGTACATGATGTTTAGTTTGGTAAGTTAACCAGGAAGGGTTAGGGACTGGCTGCAAAGTTAGATGAGAAATCAGGGGTGGATGCAACCTCAAAGGGCAAAGCCAGGAGAGTTGGTGTCTCAGTTTGGGATGCAAAGAACAAACTTCTTTCTGCATTAGTCAGGTTAAAAATGTGTTGCTGAGGCAAATTTTGCTTAAATAATTGGAGTTCAAGAGGGGACCATGCAAGGGATTTGCACAGGAAATCTCACCCAGCACAGAAATGTCTCTACTCCTGTATATGTGCGTGCAACTTCAAAATTTATTCCTAGCATTGCCAGTAAGTGAATGGAGTTGAACTGTCAGGAAAAACCCTTGCTGTGTTTGGTTGTCCTGTCTGTCACATCTGATAGCATCCATTTCAGATCAGCAACCGTGGTAACAATATGGCCAGGTTTTCTTTTATTGCAAAAATTGTTTTTCAATGAATCTATTTTGAGCACTTTTGAAAGTCCTTGGGTCATTTCACAGCAGATATTGGGAGAATTGGCCCGGGCATCACTGTGAGATTTCCAACTGGTCTGCGGTGTTTTGCAGTGAGGAAGATCACGCTGGTGAAAGGCCTTCAGCCCATCGAAGTGTGTGAGAAGGGAACTGCCACCTTTGAGGTGGAGGTGTCGCACGAGGGCGTGGAAGGAGTCTGGCAGAGAGATGGTGTTCGGCTGAAGCCTTCCCCGAATGTCCACATTGATGTGGTGGGGAAGAAACATGTGCTGACTCTGTCTTCTCTGACTCTCGAAGACGCAGGGCTCATCTCCTTCAAGGCAGATGGCACTCATTCCTCAGGGATGCTTAATGTGACAGGTACGTAGACCCCAAAGTCCAGGCTCTGAAGGAGTGTGGAGCATGGGTCATAGCCATGGTGGGATGCCATTGCACATGTCTGCAAGAGTGAGTAGTTACAAGATGTTTTTGAAGCTCCGCACATCAGCATGTTCTGCTACAGAGCCACATTTCCCTTTATTGTCGCTTGTGATCTATTATCTGCTATGAAACACCAAAAATGTTCTCAGTACTGAGCAAATTTTAGAGGATGAAAGACACAGGTTCTGTCCTGCGTGACAGAGCTGCTCTGACTATGCTTTCTTCAAGTGCCTTTCGAGGCCTCACCTCTCCATTGAGAACTACCATAACAGTAGAGATGTGGAGTGAATAGTGTTGCTGATCTGTCCATGTGTGTATCATGTTGAGCTCATGAAAATGGAACAATGCACATGGTAATTTTTTGGTTGCCTGTTCTTGTCCCAGCCAGTGAGCTCTCAAGAGGGCAACAGACTTTCTTTGCAATTGCATATAAAATGGACCCTAATGAATAACTTATCTCTGTAATATTAACAGAATTGTTGTAATTATCAACAGTATACTGAATGATGCGCTAGAAACAACAGGATTCCACATATGAGCTATGTTAAATATGTAAGATAGCTGCTTATTCCTTGTACCTGAAGCTTCTAGCAAACCTGATTCCGCATTTACTGGACTTCCTTTTCTTTTTACAGAATTGCCTGTGAGAATCAGCAAGCCTTTGTCAAACATGACTGTAACTCAGAAGGACAAAGTCACATTTGAGTGTGAGCTGTCCAGGCCCAATGTGGATGTTAAGTGGTTCAAGGTACAGCACTTAATGAAAAGTGAAATTTTCACTTCTAATGTCCCTGAAAGTCAATAAGAACCTTTTTTTTTTTTCCTTTTTTTTTCTTTCTCACTTCCAAGAAACCTGGGTTTGAGCCTTTGCTTTTCAGCTTTTAGTGCAGCTCGATACTGCTCAGCTTTTAGTACAGCTCTTGTTCTTATATTCGTTTACTTGCCCAGTTAATTTCTCTGTGAGTTATTTATTTACCAGACCATTTTGTATGCATTTGTCAGGCTAAAAGCTAAGCTGCTTTTGAATTTTTAGTGAACTCTTGAACTGTTATTGGACAGTTGGACAGAATGTGAGTGCTGCCTGTTGACAAAGACACAGTCTTGTGATTCACTTCACACACTGCAAGTCTCAGCCAGGATTTTTAGATATATTGGGAATTGCAGTTTGGAGTGAAACCTCACTCCTTTTTTACCTGACAATCTGGAGAGGATCTCAAACTTTACATCTCCATCTGATTCTTCCTTTAAGCGGAGATAGAAGACATCATTTTGAAGAAATACTAAAGGGCTAATTGCCAACCCCATACACTACCTACAAACAAGTCTCTGACATCAACCCATAATTTATTCATGTTCTCCAACCATTTGTAATGCTTAAATTTTGGCATGTGCTGAAGTTCCATTAAGCACAATTCCACTAATTCCCTTAAAGCAGATAAATTAAGCAAAGGTCTGACTGCTTGCTTCGCTCAATACAGACATAGAATAGTTGATGGTGATTTGATTTAGTCTCTTCCCTTCTAGGATGGGAAACAGCTTCAGCAAAATAAAAACATGAAGATTGTTTCCCAGGGAACTATGAGAAGCCTTACTATTCACAAGTGTGAATATGAAGACCAAGGAACATATGTATGTGAAGCAGCTAGTGACAAGACATCAGCTACCCTAAAAGTTCAAGGTAGGTTTGACTGAATGAGGAAATGACTCCTAATGCAAAATTCAACTTTACAGCAAGAAATACTGTAGGCAGTTTGTTTATTTATGTGTTACTTACTCTGAGTAACTATTTCTTCTTAGTGGGAAAATATTGACAGAACTTTCTGTGCTCATTTTATTCCTGAATGAGTATTTTTGGAAGAGATGCTAATTTAGTTTTATGTTTGTTGCAAGTGTGTTGTATTCTCTGGTTTTAACACGCTTCTAGATTAGGAATTTAGTAGACAACCTGGCACTAAGCAGGGATCCAGGAGCTGGCATGCAGACTATTTGGTTTAGCTCTGTCCCTGTCACACCTGAGTATGAACTGGACAGTCTCTGGCTATGATCTCGAGGTCTATATTTAGTCACTTCTTGGATCGTATGTGCTAAGATGGAGTAGGAAAGCGTCATGATATCTTACTACATCTCTGCTTTCTGCTCAAGATACTCTGTGTACTGGACTGTGAACTGCTTAGGCACCAGATGAATTTTTTCACTAGCCCTGAAGCCCCAGGGCTTAGGCAAGCCAGTGCTAAAGAGTTCCTGAATGGATAGGTCTGGTGTTCCCAGGCAGATGTTACTTTGCAGGGAAACATCTGAAAATACTGGCCAGCTTTTCCTTATTCCTTACTAGATGCTGTCCTCCTGTGGCCACTTGGGTGCAGTGTTAGCAATATCTTCATGATTTCCCTGTCCTCTTTCATTGCTCTGCTAAACTCCATTTTTCTCCCTGCCTTTGTGGTTGGGATGAGGTTGCTGTTTGGGACATGGTTCGTGTCCTGACACTAATGCAGGGTTTATCAGGGCCTTCCTTTTCCAAAGGGGAGGACTGCAGTAAGGAGCAGAGGATGGACTGGTTTGTGCAAGGCTGTGGAAACAGAGGGGATTGTGCCTAGCACTGCAGCACAGCACCTCATGCTGCAAAGTCCACCGCTGAGATCTCTTGTGGCCCGGGTAGATCCAGGTGCACGGGACAAGGTGTGAAAGGGCAGCATGTGGAGAAGAACTGAAATGGCTTCACACTGCCCAAGGCTCAGCCTTTGCCCCAAACTGTCCTTCCTCTGGGTTTGAAAGCCTTTTCATGCCCACTATGAGCGGCCACAAGCCACTCGTCATCCCTGCCCTGTGAATGTTTGGTTTGACACTGGCTGTCAATCAGGTCACTGTTTCTCTGGCAGTGATTTGATTACAAAGCCAACTATGATAGGAAGAACTTTTTCCTTCCTTCCTTCCTTCCTTCCTTCCTTCCTTCCTTCCTTCCTTCCTTCCTTCCTTCCTTCCTTCCTTCCTTCCTTCCTTCCTTCCTTCCTTC